AAATTTTATTAATGATGGGTCCTAAGACTGTTGATAGTTGTTGTGTGTGTGCATATATATATATATATATATATATATATATATATATATATATGTATGTATGTATCTAGAGAAAGCGAGAGAGCGCCAATTTTTGAGAGCATTTCCACTCGCAGAAAACGTGTTCACCTAGCCCTGGAAGAATCTCTGTTGTGTTGTGTTGTCTTTTTTGCCGTTATTTTGCAAAATTCCTTTAGTGAGACCATAGATTCGAAGAAAGTAAGTGTAAAGAGCAATGTTGAAAAGCCAAATCGTATGATTTCGTTTGAGGGAAAGCGGAAAATTATAAAAACACTCATGAGGAACCCGTACGAATAATGGATTTAGTGAGACAGTATGAGCGTTCTACATCGACGATAAATAAAAAATTATGAAATTTTAAAAAGTTAGATAGACTAAGGAATAAAATGTAAATGTTGAAAAAAAATTCAAAATTAGGTGATGAAGTTAATCTTCGGTGTAGTCTTAGGCTAGTTGTTGCTAGGTTAAGTAAGCGGTTGCTAGGCTAACTGTTGTTGTCGCTGTCTCTATCCTCCTTCAGCTGGCATATGACTCGTCCGAACTTTATGGTTTCATACAGTTTATTTCTTGACAATTTGTTTTTTTTCTGTTTTATTTTATTGTTTTTAAACTACATTTCTTGTTTATTGACACGTTTTTGCTTGTAAGAAACCAACAAATTCAAAAATAGGGGTGGGATTTAGGAAAACAAGGGTGGTTTTTACGGGCCAGGAACGGTGAAAATTTATTTGAGATACGAGTGTTTTGAGTTACGGGCTTAAACTGAAGGCATTACTCTCTCTCTCTCTCTCTCTCTCTCTCTATATATATATATATATATATATATATATATATATATATATATATATATATATACAGATACAGATCGCTTCGCCTAGTTTAGACTTTTTGCGGTCTTTAAAGAAGAGCACAGCTTTATGCTCTGTATCCTGTTTAGGATTGGGTTTCCGGTTCCTTCGCATAACGCCTCTTTCTCTACTAGTAACCCCTTGCGTGTTAGGGGCATTATCGCCTTGTTGGGGTGAAATGATTTAAGACACGCATGCACACACACATACATACACACACACAAACATATATATATCGTAATTAAATCAGACGTGCCTTAGACAACTCGGCCACGTAGAACCACCTTGATCGAAAGCATTATTCGGGCTTTGTTTGTGGGAGGCCCTACTTTTTATGAGAATAATCCCTGTCGTGCGCCAAAGACTTAGGGGTAGATTCTGCGACTGACGCCAATTCAACCTGGTTTCGATCCTAGCTAGAGGCAACCGGACGTCTAGCCACATACATACATATATATATATATATATATATATATATATATATATATATATATATATATATATATAAAGAGAGAGACAGAGAGACAGAGGGAGACAGAGAGAAAGAGAGAGAGAGATAATATATCGGATGAGAATCAAACGTAATGTTAAATATATCAGACAATTTGCAAAACTTCTATTATTTTAATGCTTCATCAGAAAAAGAATTGTATTTTAACAAAAATACATTATTATTCCTAATTTATTTTTTTAAATTATATATACAGCAATCCATCTATATATATATATTCTCTCTATATATATATTGTCTCTCTCTCTCTCTATATATATATATATATATATATATATATATATATATATATATATATATATATATATATATATATATGTATATATATATGGTTATGTTCAATTTCGGTTATTTTTATCTCTCGATTGACGCCCGGACTTACATTTACAAATTTAGGGCTTACGAAGTACGAAGATGCACCATAATGTATATAATGATTTTGAAATCAGGAATTGGGCGACCAAACGAATAAGGCGCTTAAATCAAAAGGAAAGAGGAAGACGAAGAGAAAGGTGCACAGCAAATAAAGAGGTCGACAATGTAGACATACCGTGTTGTCACTTCAAGATTTCCAAAGTTTTTGTGACATTTGTTTCTGGAGCGAAAACAGCACACACAAACACACACACACACACACACACACACACACACACACGCACACGCACACGCACACATATATATATATAGACCAAAATCAAACGATTTGGCAACTTTCACTCGCCTCCTGTCATTTTTGTTGAGGATGCGTCCGACATGAAAATACACGTAAAAACTGCATAAAAAATATTTACGAGAAGTGCTATATATAAAAAAAAATGGTGTACCGGTAGATAGATTAATCGATAGGAGAAGATTTGGAAAGAAAGAAAGAAAGAAAGAATGAAAGAAAGAAAGAAAGAACGATATTATTTATTGAAAAAATAAATAAATAATATTACTGATGAAAAAAGAAACAAACAAACGGTATTATGCATAGAATAAATAAATAAAAAAAATACCTACCTACCTACCTACATACCTACCTACAGGAAGGAAGGAAGGAAGGAAGGAAGGAAGTGGAAGTCTCGGAGACATATATGGACAAAGTGAGATAGATAGATAGATAGATAGAGTTCCCGTTTAAATTTATGAAATAGGTTTATCAAGTCCAGTAGCTATTATTACTCTTTCAAGTATTGATGGCTTCCTTTTTAAGCTTTTGTTTATGTCGTGTGGAACTTCAAAATAGATAGATAGATAGATAGATAGATAGATAGATAGATAGATAGATCGATCGAAAGAAAGAATAATTTTCTTTTCTTGATTAATTTTTATGACTTATCAACCTATTTCAGGTTATATGTTTTTAGCATTTTTAGATTTTAAGAATATTTTTGATATTACAATGGTTTAGTCATACAAATCTTGCTAATGAACTCATAGATGGGCAAAGAAGAGCTGTTGTCATACCTTTTCCAAGAGTATTTGCACGTAAGTGAATGTAAAGAATCCAACTGGAATTTGAACTCTGCTCTCCGACTAACAATTCCTTGCCATTATACCTTTCACCACCCGCACATCCAAGTTACTATCACCTGGTATTTTCAAGCAGTCACCCAGGCTCAACATTGCTTAATTTCGGTCATCTTACCGGTGTTTCAAACTACTGTGGCCGTAGGCCTGAAAGAAAGAATATAGTGAAATAGCTAGCTAGCTAGATAGATAGATACAAAATTGTTCTCTTTTAATCGTCTGAGAGAACTATTTTTTGTCATTCATTGGCATTGCCAGTACTAGTTTCCAGAAGAGGCAAATATTGCTCTTTCTCGGACTCTTTCTGCTTACATGAAGTCGAAAGGTTATATTGAATCAGTTGCTAGACAGCCTGTAGTAAAGTTAGTTCACTGTGTCGTGCTAGACAATTTTTCTATCAAGAATCTGTCTTACATATTTACACGGCTACCATTTTTTCTTGCTCTGAATGTTGCTACAGCATCTGGCCCGATTCTTCCCTCTCTGTATTTAGAGATTCATGATAAAATCTAAAGAAGAATCTGCAATGTTATTGGATCTGACCTAGTCACATTCCCTCCACCGTAAGGTAAATTCACTGAGCTTTTTCTGTAAATACTTTCGTGCTAATTGTTCTGATGACCTTCCTCTATGCCGGTTTTTTCAAACTGTGGGTCCCGACTATGCAGTGGGTCGCAATATAAATAAAATGGGTCGCGACAAAAAAAGAAAGAAAAAAAAAGAGATCAAAGTGCAGAATATAAACAACCGTAAATGTTGCACAGCACTCATAAATCAATAATATAGACAGGTTTTGTCTATTTATTTTAAGCAAATTCCTTTCATAGCGTTTGATAAGCTTAATAGTATCATTGAAAGACGAAAGAAAATCACCATATTGATACATGTTTTTTAATCCTATCAAAGCTTTCGGCTTACATAATCCATCATCAAAAATGACAATTACATTGCAATAAATTAAACAATACACGGACATAGCAACAATGATAGTCTGTTTTTTTTTTTTTTGCATGGACGATTTCCAAGCAACGAAAAACTCGTGCATACGAGACGCTGGAAGCGAAAATCGCACTACGGCCCTGACGTCACACATGACCACGCGATAATGTAAACGAGGAGTGATAAGTATGGGAAGCCGTTGGTATAAACCAATGGCTTCTATTATGAATTATGAAACATGCATCAATGAAAAAATGCTGCCTAAATACACACACACATATATATATATATATATATATATATATATATATATATATATATATATATACAGACTGATCGCATTGGGTTTATATAACTTTTTTTTTAACTTAAGAACAAAGAGAAATTTCCACGACTAAATAAAAAAGACTATTTCATTACTACAACTTTTACAACGACTTACTTGAGTGAAATTTACGACGTAAGATAGAAACAGGCTCAACAGCTGATATGCGAGTAGCATAGACTTCCTGTGTTCCCAACTGGAACCAGCTGCTTATGAACAAACAAGCATATCCATCACATCGAATGACATTTTTCAAATATTATTTACTTTACTTTTGTGTCGGAATTTCCTTTAAATTTATTTTTCTAAAAGTAATAATTTTATACAAATAGATAAATCAAAGAAATACATGCAATTCCAATACGTGCGGCTCGGATCATATATATATATATATATATATATATATATATATATATATATATATATATAAATTTTCGATGGTGAACGAATGAACCTAGTGAATAGAGTTTGTCTTTGATTTATTACTGTCATATATGCTTAGGCGATCATGTATCGTTCGATACATGCGTGACGAGGCAGATTTATTCCTGCAGGAGGTTGCCATTTCTTTCTGAGGTAGACTATCCAAGTCTGTATAACACGGTCTGTCCTACTATTAGCCCATAGAAGGCATAGAAGAGTTCATAGGGGAAGAAGAATGGATTCATACCTTTCCCAAAGGTATTAGAACGTAAGTGAATGTAATAGATTCGACTGGAATTCGAACTCGGCTCTCCGATTCCTCAGTCCGAGCCCTTAATCATTACTCCACCATACACGTAAGTATAATTGGTCACAATGCAAAATGTGGTTCTTACTCTGGGTCGCAGAAAAGAGGATAGGAAAAACGCGACCGATGCTATCTAGATTATCAGCAAGGTCTCATCATTTTATAATTGAACAGGTTAGATATAACCGTAAGTTCTATGTTTACACTTTCTTCTCACGCACTTCTCGCTTGTGGATATCTCTTCCGGTTTTTCGTTTCTCATTAAGTTTCATATCCAAAAATTAAATGCAATGTCAATCGTTATCATCTGTCTTCTTACTTTTGGTCCTTTTATAAGTCCCCCTCCTTAATGTTTTTTTCGTATTCTCTAACACTCAGTAACAGTGCGACTTAGTGGCTTTATCGCCTTAGCTTAATAGTTTTATTTTCTTCTCCGGTTTTCAGTTTCCTTATTTCTAGTTCTTTTAATTAATTTCCTTCCTAGAAATTCGGCATTATTTTAACTTTCAATTTTTTTTCCCGATTCTCTTGGCACGTTCCATGAATCCTTTTTTTCTTTACAGATTCTCTTTGCTACTTCCTAATTCATTTTTCTTTGCTTACACTTTGCTCCATCTGTAATTAATATTTACTTTTCGAACTCTCTTTGCTCCTTCCATAATTCATTTTTCATTGCTTACAATTTTCTCCATCCCTAATTAATATTTACTTTTCGAACTCTCTTTGCTCCTTCAATAATTCATTTTGCATTGCTTATACTTTGCTCCATCCGTAATTAATATTTACTTTTTGAACTCGCTTTGCTCCTTCCATAATTCATTTTTCATTGCTTAAACTTTGCTCCATACGTAATTAATATTTACTTTTGGAACCCTTTTTTGCACCTTCCACAATTCATTTTTCATTGCTTATACTTTGCTCCATCCGTAATTAATATTTACTTTTCGAACTCTCTTTGCTCCTCCCATAATTCATTTTCCATTGCTTACACTTTGCTTCATCCGTAATTAATATATACTTTTCGAACTCTCTTTGCTCCTTCCATAATACATTTTTTTTTCTTTTCGAACTATCCTTTCCCTTTTCCAGAATTCATTTTTTTTCGTTCCTGACTCTCTTGCTTTTTCCCTAATTCATTTTTCTTTCTTAACTATCTTTACTTCTTCGATAATTAATTTTTCCTTTCCAGTCTCTCTTTCCTCATTCCATAATTCATTTTTTCTCTCCTGGTACTCTTTGCTCCTTCCATAATTTATTTTTTCATTTCTGACGCTCGTTCCTCCTTCCATAATTCATTTTTCTTTCCTGACACACTTTGCTCCTTCCATAATTCATTTTTTCTTTACTGACTATTTGCTCCTTCCCCAGTTCATATTTTCTTTCCTAACTCTATGCTCCTTGCATAATTTATTTTTTCATTCCTGACTCTTGTTCCTATTTCTATAATTCATTTTTCTCTCCTAGCGCTCTTTGCTTCTTTCATAATTCATTTTTTTTCTTTTATGACTGTTTTTGCTTTTTCCGTAATTCATTTATTATTTCCTGACTCACTTTGCACCTTCCAAATTTTTTTCCTGATTCTTTTTTTCTTCCCTAATTCTTTTTTTTTTTACTAAGTCTCTTTGCTTCTTCAATAATTCATTTTTTCTTTCCCGACTCCTTCCCTAATTTATTTTTTTCCAGGTTATCTTTGGTCCTTTATAATTCATTTTTTCTTTCCTTATTCTCCTTTCTCCTTCCCTAATTCATTTTTCTTTTCTGACTCTCTTTGCAACTTCTAATTTTTGTTTTCCTGACAGTTTTTGCTTCTTCCCAAAATTCATTTTTATCTCTTTGCATCTTCCATAAATCATTTTTTCTTTCTGACTTTCTTTCCCCTTCCAGAATGCATTTTTTCATTCAGGACTCTTGGCTCCCTCCCTAATTTATTTTTTTCTTTCTTGATTCTCTTCACCCCCTCCCTAATTCATTTTTTCCGGACTATCCTTTCCCTTTACCAGAATTCATTTTTTCTTTCTTGACTCTCTTTACTACTTCCATAATTCAGTTTTTTCTTTTCAGACAAACCTTTCCCTTTTCCATAATTCAGTTTTTTCTTTCCTGATTCTCCTTCCTCCTTCCATAATTCATTTTTCTTTCTTGACTCTGTTCACTCCCTCCATACTTCATTTTTTCTTTTCGGACTATCCTTTCCCTTTTCCATAATTCATTTTTTTCTTTGCTGACTCTCTTTGCTCCTTCCATAATGCATTTTTTTCTTTTCGGACTATCATTTCCCTTTTCCATAATTCATTTTTTCTTTGCTGACTCTCTTTGCTCCTTCCATAATACATTTTTTCTTTTTGGACTATCCTTTCCCTTTTCCATAATTCATTTTTTTTCCTTGCTGACTCTCTTTGCTCCTTCCATAATGCATTTTTTCTTTTCGGACTATCCTTTCCCTTTTCCATAATTCAGTTTTTTCTTTGCTGACTCTCTTTGCTCCTTCCATAATGCATTTTTTTCTTTTCGGACTATCCTTCCCCTTTTCCATAATGCATTTTTTTCTATTCGGACTATCCTTTCCCTATTCGACCATTCCGTTTTATTTTTCTTTCCTGGCTCTCTTTGCTCCTTCCCTAATTCATTTTTCTTTCCTGATTCTCCTTCCTCCTTCCATCATTCATTTTTTCTTTCCCAACTCTCTTTGCTCCTTGTATTTGATTATATTTGTTTTGCTTGTTACTTTCATTTACTTCTTCATGACTACAATTTTCCTTTTTTGTTCTTCTTCATTTTCTTTCACACTTATTCCTGTTTCCTTTTCCATCTCTTCGTATTCTTGTTTCTCTTTTGTGTATTTTTTCTAATACTCACCTTTTTCTTTTCTTATTCTATTTCCTCTTCTTCTGCTGATATTCTTTATATTTTACTTTTATTCATTCATTCATTCATTCTTCTTATTTTCATGTAATTCCGCTTATTATTATTCTTTCATTACATTTCTTCTTCTTATGTATTTCTGCTCCTTTTTCGCCTTCTTTTTCTTCTTCCTCTTCTTCTTCTCTGGCATTTCTTCCCCTTGATTTCCTTTACTAATATTGTATTTCTACTTCTTTTTCTTCTCTTTTTTTTCTTCATCTTTTTCTTCTTTTCTTTTTCTTCTTTTTCTTCTTCTTCTTTTTCTTCTTCTTCTGTGGTATTTCTTCTGCTCGATTTTCTTTTAATAATATTGTATTTCTACTTCTATTTCTTCTTCTTTCTTCTTCTTCTGCTTCTGTTGTATTTCATGATTTCGTTTATTAATATTGTATTTCTTCTTTTTTCTTCTTCTTTTTCTGCGTTTTCTTCTTTTCTTTTCCTTCTTCTTCTGTGCTATTTCTTCTACTAGATTTCCTTTACTAATATTGTATTTATACTTCCTTTTCTTTTCTTTTTTTCTTCTTCTATTTCTTCTTCTCTTTCTCTTTCTCGAATAATTATTTCATCCTTCTTTCCAACATTTTTTTTTATTTCTTTTCCTCTCGTCCTTTCCACCCTAAATTACTGCTTGTGTCTTTACTGGGCGCTTTACTTTTCTTTTTTCCTTTTCCTAAATGTGTTGACCTCAGTTCCGACCAGTCGTTGAAAATACCCTGAACGTCTAAATTATCTTACAGAAATCCACGCCGCCATCAACATCCCGAACCTTCATGCCTTACCCAAACTGAACATCTACCCTATTAGACTTTATAATAATAGAAATGTTTTTTCACTTCTTTTTTTTTCTTTTGCTTATTGTACTTCGTAAAAATATTGTCACAATTTTGTTTCTTTCTCTTTCCTTTTTTGTTTTTTTCTTTTCGACTTAATTTTCTTTTATCCTCTTTTAAGTGCAGATCTTTAACACTAGTTTTACACGCTATGTATTTTCCTCTTTTTTATCCTTATCTTCATCGCCCCTTTTTCCTTTCTCTTTCTTTTCCATGATCTGCATTTTTATTATTATAATCAATCCACTTTTTCTTCTTCATCATTATTACAATATCCCCAAACAACACCCGGTTATTTTTCACTCTCACTTTTCTTTACGTTTTTCCTTCTTCTTTATTTCATTTTACTCGCTTTAATCGAATTCAAGGTTATTATTGCCATTAGCTTTCTTTCTTTCTTTCTTTCTTTTTTTCCAAAGAGATTAATTTCCTTTTCCGCTTTAAATCATCGTCTTCTTCTTTTCTTTCTTTCTTTCTTTCTTTCTTTCTTTCTTTCTTTCTTTCTTTCTTTCTTTCTAATGTCTTTACCATCCTCTTTTCTCCGACTTCAAGATCATTATTACTGTTATTACTTTTCCTTTCTTCTTTTTTCTTTCTTTCTTTCTTTCTTTCTTTCTTTCTTTCTTTCTTTCTTTATAATAATGTCTCTGTCACCCTCTTTTCCTACGAATTCAAAATAACTATTATCATTAGCTTTTTTTCTTTCAGCCTTTCTTTCTTTCAGCCTTTCTAATTATGTCTTCATCACCTTTTTTTTCGCAGATCAAGTTTTATTTTAAATAACTTTTTTCTTTCTTTCTTTCTTTCTTTCTTTCTTTCTTTCTTTTCTTTCCTCCTCCCGTCCTTGTTTTATTTCTTTCTTTATCACCTTTTCTCCTCCGATCAAGTTCGTTATTATCATTATCTTTCTTTCTTTCTTTCTTTCTTTCTTTCTTTCTTTCTTTCTTTCTTTCTTTTCTGCCCTCCTCCCGTCCTTGTTTTATTTCTTTTTTTATCACCTTTTCTCCTCCGATCAAATACCTTATTATCATTATCTTTCTTTCTTTCTTTCTTTCTTTCTTTCTTTCTTTCTTTCTTTCTTTCTTTTCTGCTCTCCTCCCGTCCTTTTTTTAGTTCTTTTTTTATCACCTTTTCTCCTCCGATCAAGTTCATTATTATCATTATCTTTCTTTCTTTCTTTCTTTCTTTCTTTCTTTCTTTCTTTCTTTCTTTCTTTCTTTTAAAGTTTTCGTCGCTCTCTTTTTCCACCGATCTTCACTTGAACCGGACTAACTCGTTCACCATTACCACATGCGAAGACACTCTTAAAACGTCTACTGATCTTAACTTAGTATAAGCAATAACCACATATATGGGAGATCTAGTGTGGCTTGAACTCAGTATTAATGGCAAAGCAGACTAGCTCGTGAACCATTGCTTCAGATCATGGGCTTATAACGTCTTTTATCAATCACTTCTTTTGCCTCTTCCCACACCCTTTCTGGCACTGTCATATACTAATACTACTACTACGAATAATAATAATAATAATAATAGAGAAGCAAAAGAAGACATCTTATCTTCGTTGTAAAATATTCTTTCTACCGGTGATCCACTCGTCTTTCTCTGTCATTTCCATTTGTTTTATTCTTTTCTTTTCCAGAGCAGCTTTTAACTTCTCTACAATTTCCTTCATTTTCCGTCGCCTCTCTTTTCCTTCTCCTTTTTTATTCCAATTTTCTTTTCTTTTCTTTTACTCGCTCCACTTATTCATTTTTTCTTTCTTTTCCTTTTTTTTCTTTATCATTTTTCGCAGCTTATAACTTTCTCTTTTTTCTTTCTCTCTACACTCTCCTTCTTACATTTTGGTCTCTTTCTTTTATCTCTCATCTTCCCTTACCATCCCCTTACCTTCACATTTTTCATTCTCCTTCTCTTGTCTTTCTTTAGTTTCATCTTTTCCTTTCTCCACTCCTTAATTATTCACTGTTTTTTTAATTAGTTCTTTCTTATTGTTCCTTCTTCTTCTTCTTCTTCTTCTTCTTCTTCTTCTTCTTCTTCTTCTTCTTCTTCACTTTCCTAGTTTCTTCTTCTTTATAGCATCCTTAATATTTTCCTTTTGCTCTTCTTTTCTCGCCTTTCTCGAGTCATTCATTCATCCATTCATTCATTCATTCATTCTTCTTCTTCTTCTTCTTCTTCTTCTTCTTCTTATTCTTCTTCTTCTTCTATTATTATTATTATTATTATTATTATTATTATTATCTCTTCTTGTCTTTGTTCTTTCCTCTCATCTATTTAGTACCTCCTCTTATGATCTTTGTTTTCCATTTTTATTCCACGTTTCTTTGTTTTTTATCCGCATTTTTCTCGCTCATGTATATTAATCTATTGAATTATGTTTGTTTATTTACTTATTTATTATTTATTTTTGTTTTCTTCTTTTATTTTTATTTTTTCATACTGCGTTTTCTTTCATTCCACTTTTTCTTTCATTATTCTTCTTTCATATTTCTTCTTTCATATTTCTTCTTCTTCTTGCCAGCCTATTTCCATTCATTTTCTCGCCAAATGTTCTCCGCCTTACTGACTGCTTACATCTCTAACACCGGGTCTTTCAGTCTTTTCCTATTTACAATGGCTGTTCACACTCCAGACCTTTCTGCTTCCTTTCCAATACTCTCCAACCCAACGTCTGTCCATTCCTCGATCCGATGTCCACCCTTCGTCCGCTGATAACGCAAGTTTTTTTTTTGTTTTTTTTAAATCTCCTTATTTCTCTTTTCCCATTTTCTGAAACGCACGAACTTCCTTCTTACTGTCTTTTTTTCCCTTTATTTTTCTTCAAATTCCTTTTTCCCTTGCAATTTCTTTCACACCCGTTTCTTTATTAATTTATTTCGTTATCTATTCCTTTCTTTCTTTTTCCTCCACGTCTTTCCAATCGACATCCCCCCCCACCTTTTTTTTCCGATGTAGTAACCCCTTTCCGGACATTCAAGCGCACCTTTTCATACCCATTATTCTCTATCCCATCACCCTTTTTTTCGGCCACCCTTACCGCCTTCGCCTTCACTGATTCCTCTGTCATTACACTGACTTCTCATTACGTGTTTCGAGTTACATTCTTCATCGCTTTTATTTTCTTTATACGCACTTTATTTTTCGCCATTACCGTTGTTCTTACATTCGTTCGACTTCCTAAGTCTCTCCTTGCTTTTTGTCCACACGTCTCTTTCTTACCTCCTAATTTACTTTCTGCTATATTATTGATTTTTCTTTTTCTTTATTGCGTCATTCCATCCGAGGCAATATTTTTTTTTTCTTTTTTGTATTTATTTCTCGTTTTTCTCTCTTTTTTTTTTATATTTTTTTTTGGTGGTGGTGGTGGTTGGGATCCAATGCCGTCTCTTTCTTTTACTCTTTGATCTTTTTATTTACTTCTTGTCTACACTTTTTTACACTCTCTCTTTACACCTTTACTTTTTCAACTCTTTTTTCTTTCTTTCTTTTATCCTCCTCCTCTTGTTAAAACTATTTGCTTTCTCTCCATATCTTGATATTTGAAGCCTCCTTTGTTGTTGTTGTTGTTGTTGTTGTTGTTCTTCTTCTTCTTCTTCTTCTTCTTCTTCTTCTTCTTCTTCTTTTATACGCTTTGTCTTTCTTATCACTTTCTTTTTTCTCTTTATTTGCCTCCCTTTCTCCCCCTTACTTTTGCCTTCTTTTTTTACTCTCCTCCCTTCATTCTCTCCTTCTTCTTCTCTCCTTTCGTCTTCTTTTGTTTTGTCTTCTTTAATTTCTTCTTTTTCTCCTCTTCCTTGTTTGTTTGTCTCCCTTTTTTCTCTTGCCTTTTGTCTTCTTTTTTTACTCCCCTCTTTTCATTCTCTATCCTTTAGTCTTCTTTTTTTGTCTCCTTTTATTACTCTCTTCCCATAATTTCTTCTTTTTCTCCTCCTCCTCCTCCTCCTTGTTTGTTTGTCATTCTTTCTTCCCCTTTCTTATGTTTTCATTTTTACTTTCCTCCGTCAGTTCCTTCTCCTCCTCCTCCTCCTTCTTCTTTTTCTTTTTCTTCTTCTTCTTCTTCTTCTTCTTCTTCTTCTTCTTCTTCTTCTTCGTCGTCGTCGTGGTGATACCTCCTCTTTGGTCTATCAATTATCTTCCCCTTAATCAAGTTTTTCACACCTTTGCGCCACTGTTTTATCGTTTTGTTTTTCTTTGTATATATATCTCACATCATTCTTTGTCTTTCTTTCCTTCCATCGCTTTCTATTAGTCTTTCCTACAATTTTTCGAAAACCTTTCTTTTTCATTTTTTTTTTACCTAGTTTCATGTTCTTTTTTTAAAAATTAGGTCTTCATTTCATTTGCTCCTTATTCCATCTTTCCTTTTCTTTTATTTTCCTCCACTTATGTCTTCATCGCCATTCCATTGTATTTGTTATTTGAGTTTTTTTTTAAATATATGTACTTCTCACTCCATCAAAACTTTTCCTTGTCTCGCTTAAAATTAAGTCCTTACCTCCATTTTGATTTTGTTTCACATTTTATTCAGGTTCCTTCTCTTAATTTTATTCCACTTTCTTTCTTTTCTAACTTTTTGTCTTCTTGCTCTCTTTCTCTCCCCACTTTCTTCCATATTTTCTCAGATTCTTTCTTTTTTTACTCTTACGTCATTCATTACTTTTCATCCTGTTTTGTATTCGTTTTATCTTTGTTCTTCCTTTTCTTGTCCACTTTATTTTTTCTTCTTTCATTCATATTTTTTTCTTAATCTTTCTCTCTTTTTTTTTCGTCTTTCTTTTCTTAGATTACACTCACCCCATTTTATCTCCTCTTCTTTCTTTTCTAATTTCCTCCTCTTCTTCTCCCTACTCTCTTCTTTATTCCATATTTTCTTTTTTCCCTTCTAAGTATCTACTTTTACTTCATTTTTTTTTATTCCTTAACATTACCTTCTTTTTCACTTCCCTTTTCTTCCCTATTCTTTTTTTTTCTTATTCCTCGAACTTTTTCATAGACTGCACTTTTTCCTTTCTCTTACTGTAGTTTCTAATTTTTTTTCTTTTCCGTAACCCTTTCCTACATTTACTGCTTTTTACATTTTTTTTGTTTTTTTATTCTATTTTGATACAATACTTTTTTTTTCTGCTTTCTCGTTTTATTATATTTCTTATTTTTACTTCTTATATTTCTTCTTTTCCTCGCATTAATTTGTCAGTCGATTTTCAATTTTTCCTGTTTCATTTGAACTTCTTTTCTATACTGTTCCCTACTCCACATTCTCTTTCAAATTTCTTCGTCCCCCTCACCGCCTCCTCTCTCTTACACACATTCTCTTTCTTCATTTCTCTTAAATGCACTCATTTTAATACATTCTAGCATCGTCCACTATAGTCTCCTTTGAGTTGAACGCCCGTTTTTCTGTATGGCCTGACCATATCTTCCTTCATTGCACATATCTACACATGACCTTCCGCCCCTTTCCTTTAAGCTAACGTTAAAAAATAAAATAAAAATTGTTTTGTAAGTCTTACTTTCTTTTTCTTCTCACTTCAAATTCTTTGTGGATTTAACCTTTCTTTCGTTTCCCGCTTTTTCGTTTTATATTTCGACGCTAGCTTCTACGGTCCCGCTTTTACTCCAAGTTTCCCGCGCTTTTTACTCTTTTTCACGACAATTTTTCTATTTACTTATCAGGGATTTTATTCAGTTCTCGCTTTTTGGCTGAGCCATCGCCTTGTTCTTGCTTCTTTTTTCAGCCACATTTGCTCACGCACTTATATCGGGTTAAATGTACTGTAATTTTGGCCATATATATATATATATATATATATATATATATATATATATATATATATATATATATATTCTTTCTTTTAATATTGATCTGATTCTCTTTCTTCTCTTACTTTCCTGTTTACATTTACTGTTATTTTTTTCACAAGATTTTTTTTCCTTTCTTAAGTTCCTTTTATTATTTCCCATCTATCGGCACCATTTTCATCTCCTCCTCCTAATCTATTATCTCTTGCTGCGTTATTTTCTTCGCTTTTTCTCCTCCTCCTTTGCTCTCTCCACCCTTTTCTCCTCCTCTTTTTCTCCTTCCACTCCTTTTCTATCTCATCCTTGTACTATTGCTGATATTGCCCTCTTCCCCACCCAACACTTCTTCACCTTCTGCTTTCCATTCGTCCACTGTCTTTTTTTTATCACTCTTTTCTTTTAATTTTTTTCTTCTTCTTCAACCTCTTTTCCATCACCTCCTCTATCGTTATCTCCCTCTCTTTTTCTACCTCCTCTTTTTTGCGTGGTAATTTTCTCCTCCTCCTCCTTCTCCTCCTCCTTCTCCTCCTCCTCCTACTACT